ACATTTGACAGATGCTTGTCACACAAATGCCATGTAGACAAAGTCATACTTAGAGCAAGGAAAGGTCTGACAGCACTCAAGGTACTAGCAGCAGCTGATATTGAACAATGCCTACTTTTCCTTCTCTATCAAGGGCTTGTGCTTAAGCGTCATTGACTATGGTCTTGGCCTCCTCACTGTCAGCAAAACCCAGCTAGAAAGACTGGACTAAGTACAAAATGAGGCCATGAGACTCATACTCGGCTGCACAAAAGACACCTCCTGCAATGCCATGCGTTATGTCCTGGGTTTGCCAACGATGACTAGCAGATACAAATTCACACAGGTCAAGGGGTACATGAGGGTATAGGCAGACGTTAACCAACTACTGCACGAAGCTATACATGACACGAAAGAGGCTGCTCTTGGATGGCAAAGGCTGAGGATTTAATCCAGCAGGTATGTTACCTAGACGTGATCAGTCAGAATACACAAATATACCAGTACACGTGCATGACATCTCTAAGGTTGTCATCACACTCAGAAGGTACTGCAGAGATCAAATTCCTCTGGCCATAGACACAAAGGTAAGGAAATTGAAAGACCAGCATTCAGACCCAGAAGATATTATCAACTAAACAGATGGATCGTGAAGCGTGGATCAAGGTCAGCATGGGCATACACGGCGCAAAGAAGGCGCAAAACAATACAGGAGGACAGCGGGGCTTACCAGACAACCACGTCAAGCATGACCATGGAAAAAGCCGCTGCTTCTAGGGCATTAGCATGGGTATCTGAGCAAATCGCAACACAGGCAGTAATTGTATTAGACTCCATGAATATGCTTCATGAGAGAGCGGTCCAACTTGCAAGCACTGCGCTAAGGCATGTGGAAAGAAGCATGGACATAACAGATATCGTCAACGCTGTACGGATTGGGCTAGTGGATAATGAGGAAACCCAGACATGGGAGTAAAGCATGGTGAAGCACGTCTATGCCGTCTTCAGGGCCAAGATAGGAGACAACATAACCAGCTTCTCATGGGAACAATTAGTAGAAGTACTTTGGAGTGGCTGCTGCATCAGAGGACTGACCACGCATGGGAATGCCCAATGTGCATTGATGTCGATTGTGATAACATAACATTTACAATCTAAAGCATGCAAACTCATATTTCCATCATTATTCCCTAAGAAAATAAATGTAGGGGACTCCTTTTTTTGAATATACTTTTATAGGAACAATCAATTTGGGGAAAGCAGACTGTCAAAACCCTCCCGGAAAACACCAGCTATAATACTACATGTACAGACAGGTTGCCTGTGGTAGTATGTACTATTAACCAAAAGCAGAAAATAACTGTAAAGAAAAAAAGCAAAACAAAAGAACATTAATTATGTTAAAACAGGACAATAACTGAATACAATATAACACACACACATGTGAAGATACCCTGTCAAGACTTACTTTTCCCCATGGCCCCACTGTGTATTGTAGTCAGATTGTCAGAAATCACAGGCAAGCTACACGGGTTGTCTGATCCAAATAACACTGTAGAACACTTGCGGGTGTGCATCTTCATCTTGTCTTTATTTCTCAGACTGTCCATGCTGTCACTCCTAAGTATTAGAAACATTTCATATTCTGTCTAATGATATAAGTACAAACCTCAGACTACTTAACTTCACTCTTTCAGCAGCAAGCAGGTGTTAACCTCAGACAACGGTCTTTACTGTGTGTATTGTTAGATACAGGAAGGTAGATACTCTCTCAATGGCCAGAAAAAGTAAAAACGCTAAAAGCGTCACTTAAGGCTGGACAATATGGCAAACATTTATCTAAAAAGGGGCATGACCTGAGGCATCCATAAAAAAAGTGCAGCTCAACAGCGCAGGTAGGTTAGAAAGAGCCGTATAACAGGCCCTTTACCTACAGACACTATTACCTATCGTCTCTGTCACTGATCCTTTTTGGCCCGTATTGGGCTTATAAGTTACCTCCAGACTCAAAGACAATCAATTATAGCTTTATGAAGGATGAAAGAAAGCGTCTAATACCATGCAGGACAGGAGAGCCATGAGCCTGAGGATATCATTCTGCATGGCCAGTGCAGTTGCTATGAACTGTGTAGTTAGGATTTTCCTTTTGCCCTCAAGGATTTGAACGTGGGTCTCCTGAATGAGCAAAGAATTTCTAATCATTCAACAAACCACTCTTTAGGGTGTTAAACTATTATAAGAAGTTCTTAAGTATTAAATGCTTTGATCTGAGGAACTACATTAAAAAATAACACAACAGGACAGAAGGAGTTAAATGTAAGTAATGAGACAGAGTGGGTTAGTGTAGCAATGTGAAGGGTCAGAAGAATTTTAGGAAAAGAATATCTTATCAGATGAAATCAAGAAACACATGATGAGTTGATGATACTGAATGATTCAAGAGGTTAAACCATCAAAAGCAATTGATTTCTAAAATTTTATGAAACCCTGAAAATTTTTGTCTGTGGAAAAACTTGATCATCATAGCCAACTTGATCCTTTAATTCATGTTGCTGAGAACTGTTTTAATCACAGAAAGCGCTGAATATCCACAAATCTGAGACTTTCGTCTAATAGAAAGATGATCCCAATGGTTATAAACAAAATCAGGACAGCTTTAAACAGAGATGTCTGCACCAATAGCTGACAGGAAATTAAATTTTAATCTATTTTGGTTGTGAATTTCACACAAAAACTCATGCAAACAGAAATACAAGCGGACATGAAGAGATAACATATGTTGATACAAATGATCAAGATGCAATTATTTATTTACCTGAAAGTACACTCCTGCTGTACACATTCTGCTTGGGGTAATTTTGTTTCCACTGAAAACAGAACACAATTATATTTAGATTTCTTTGAAAAAAAAAAAAAAACAACCAGCAAGCAAGACAGTTATGGATTTTCACAATCTCCCTTATCTCTTTTCCCCTTAAATCTTATCTAACTTTTAAAATATGTTGCATTTATTCTTATCTGACAATATGGTTTTTAAAAAAAAGCTGATTGCCTCTGCGGACATATGTGCTAAGTGGCATGTTTTATCATAATTAGAACTTTATTTGTTTCAATATAATTCAGCATCTGGCAGATAAACCAATTCACAAACTTTGTTATTGTTCTTTGTCACAGCAGGTGGAACATCCTATCATCTATGGCAAAGGTTAAAAGAAATAAACAAATCTATATACTGTTGATCAATCAACAGTATACAGTTAGTTGCAACATGGCAGGTTATTATAAAATAAAGCACTATGTGTGTGATATGAATAAAAAATTATAATAATACACATGTGAAGGAAAATAACTGAAATATTCATTGAAGAGTTTCTTGAGAGGCAGAAAGAGGGGAGAGACAAACAGACAGACATATAGACAGAGAGGAGAGGGAGAGAAGTTAGAGGTTGGATAATACATGCACTGGCCTGTTGATGTGAAACAAGGCCAATGAGATATATAACAGAAGTTGACAGGTGTTCTAGCAGAGAGACACTGCACGTACCACATCAAGTGTGCAAGAGTGATTGAAGTAACAAGCTGTTAATGTCATCTATAGTTACCTCTATGTTTAACAACTGGAGAAATAGACTGTGGGAATTCAATGTCACCGATGCAGTCCTTGCCCCGGCACACTGTTGAGTTCAGGTTGGGGCAGACTTTCATTCTCACTGGAGGGGAGGCCGTCATTGTCTTGGTTGAGACTGTAGCTGCAATATGTACAGCCAGACTCCAGTGAAATAATATCACCAGAAGAAAAACTCAGTATTTAAAGTATGTACTGAGTATCCTAACATTGCTTCTGTTAACTAACAATCAAATCAACAACCAGTACTGCTGTACTGATGAAATACATGGAAGACTAACAAACATTTCTAAACTAATGCCAGGTCTCCACAGTAGGACTAAAATGGTCTGACTGAATCACCAGTGTGGAATTCATGAAAAGAACTAAACAAACACAAGTAAATTAGAGGTGAAGAAGATGATGACACTGGGTGGCATCAGTATTTACAAACCTGCAAACAGAATAAATGGAAAGGACCTTTAAAAACATCATATAGGAAAAGAAAAATCCTCATCAAAAAGCTAACTGGCATAGGCAATCATGTATCTCTGCATCTTGTGATCTCCTACAGTTTGTGTATATTTGTTCTCTGACACCTTTCCTCACCATCAATAAATTCAAAGTACTGCACAGAGAGAGATAACAATGAGACAGTCCACTGATAGGTTGACCATCATATTTTGGGTTGAAAAGACATCACCATAATATGTTGAGCTGAAAAACAGGATATCACCGTACCATTTTGAGCTGAAAATGGGACGTATCAAGCAAATCAGTTCAACCATCCCCCACCCTTTTTTTAAAAACACTGCATGCACTATAATAATGCTATAAGAATACTGGAGACTCAAAATGATGGCATTAAAATCCGAACCATTGTTGCAAAGACATAGACAAAACAATATGCTCAACAATAAAAAAGCATGCTACTTTTAAAATCCCATCAACATATTTCAGATATTAAAAGTATGTAAAACTAAGAAATCCAATACAGATTTAACTATAAGCGTGTGTTCTCACGTCGGCATCTGTGGCTTGGGTGTTAAAAACGCGCCTTGTAAAGCTAGGGTGCTGGGTTCGATTCCAGCTGTGAACGATTTTTCTTGTGTTGTTTTGGACAGTGGTACCAAGAGGTGATTATTCAGAAAGCAATGGCAAACTACTGAATGTAAGATTTGCCTAGAAAAACCACAACAGCCAAAAAATGCTGGGGTTGGTTCTGCAACGTTCTGTAAAGGATACGCAGCTAACATTAACCTACGCTTAGAAAAAAAACCAGGACAGTCTGGGTGAAAAAAGGGATGTATAGTCATCCTATTCGTTGAGTAAACCACACACTGAGCAGTAAAATTAAGTGTAGACTCTTCAGATTATTTAGGTCTACTGTGAGTAAAGAGACAAATTTAAAAAGTTATTAGTAGCTGGCGAAACTGATGGGAGTAGGACAACTAGAAGACCATAAGAAAACCTGAAAGGCTTGGATGAATGATAATACGATAAAAATGATTCTTTCTGAAAGAGTTGAACACAACATACCATCTGTGTAGGTGGAGACATACGAGTAGGTATAATCTGATCCCATCTGTGAAGAACTGCCAGTAGTTGTTTTACTCCCATCAGAAGCTAATGAATCACCACGTCTTGCTGCATAAGAGATAAAACCATGCTTCCACTTAATGTTTTAGTCTGTCAAAATGCCTATCTTTTAACAATGATTTCATGCATGATACTTATCAGATCTGATATTTTGCTCTTCAAATACCCAGTTTTCATATACACAAATCCCCAGGCAGAGCATGTCTTCTTATAGTTCTTACAGTTTGACATTGTTTGTCATATTTATCAACAACCTCCTGTCTTGTGCTTCACTTCTGCTGTCAGACTGTTGTGTTTTTCTCTCTAAGTCTTCCCCTGTCTGCTTCCCTATCTTGTGCTTCACTTCTGCTGTCAGACTGTTGTGTTTTTCTCTCTAAGTCTTCCCCTGTCTGCTTCCCTATCTTTGTGTCATTTTCCAGTTTACTCCATTTCATAACAGGACCAAAGGATGTGAGTTGTCTTCTTCTCTTACAAGGAAAAAGTTCTCTTTGTGAGTTGCTTTCTGCCAAGAAATCTGCAGTACTCAGTACAGAGGTGACTCTCTTGCATGCAGTAGCAGCTGCAATGATATACTAGTTCGTGCATGTGCCTGTCAATCTGGGTACCATTCTCAGAAGTAGGAGGGTATGAAACTCAAGACCACCATGGTTCAGAGGTCTAGCCTGCTCCATGACATGGCTACCAGATATTTTACTGGGAAATCAAAGACAGACATATTATGCCCTAGAATGCCACTCTGACAATAAACAATATCATCCTAGATATATAATATAAAGTCATGTAAATGGACTTTCACTATTTACTTTTATCTTACTTTATAAAAACTTCAGAAGAGCTGCTGGCCAAATAGTATGCTGGGCTTTCATTCAGGAGTCCTGGATGGGAACCCTTGGTAAGGCTGGGGATTTTTACTGTCAGCGGAACAAATCAAATCCTAACTTGCACAGTCTGTGGCAACAGCACTAGTCAAGCTGCCTTAAATCATTAGGCTCAAAGGCCCCCCTCCCCCCCCCCACAAAAGTGGTAGTAATGACAATTGGTTTTAATATCCTTTTTTTTTTAAATAAACAGTTATGCCAATTAATAAAGATCCCATATTATCTATAATAAAAACTGCAGCATACAATGGCTAGCACATTTGCTTTCACCAAAGATCATACAAAGTACAAACCTACGTAGCCAATATGATGACTCCTCTCCCCCCCTTCCCCCCAGAGATCTATGAAACACCTACACTCATGAAACAAAGAACAGAGTCTGAAACCGGAGACAAAAACTTCAGTGCACAAGGCAAATGGATGAACTCTTTACGGACTTTTCACTACTCGTGGCTTTTGGAACCCACCCCGTTCGGACTTTGAGCCACTATAATGGCGATTTATAGACACTCTAATACTATTTCGGTTGCTGGTAAAACAAATTTGTATGAACAAGTTTTGAAAAACTAGAACTAGCTAAACAGAAGTCTTTTCGTTTGTGAAGTTCGGGATGCTGTTTGCGTCACTTTCTGATTTGTTTCACATTAATTACATGTGATGCAATTTTTGTGATTTTTCAGATCAAATGATAAGGAAAAAGGTCTAGAACTGTTCATACTACTGTTTCTTTGATGAATCTCAGCCAGATAATGACAACAGTCTTGATATTATGACTGATAATGCAAGTGACAAACCTACTGACGATAATGTAGGTTAGTATGACACTGAACAAAATATTTCAATCCGATCATGTATGTTCTGATCAGCCGTTTTCCTGATTTCAGTTGTTGAAAAATCTGACATGTTATACAGAAATGGTCATAACATCCTAAGTATTTCAAATAATTGTTTCAAATAAAAACTGAACAGAGAAGGAATGTGAATTCTTAGAATTGGATAGCAGTGTTGCTGAACAGGTAAAAATTAAGGTAAGCACACTTTTTGTGTGTAAATAATCTTCATATGTGTGTGACGAAATGACCTCAGTGGTCTCAGAAGTTATATTGTGTTTAAAAATTTCTTATGTTCAGAGAAGGACAAAGAATTAAAAGCAATAGACACTGAGCCTAAAATAGTTCTAAAACCACTACAAGGGATTTGAGAAAAGTTTAAACTGCGTTTCCAATCTCTAGCCAGACAAAGCAACCTTGCTTTAGGTAATATTACCTTGGCTAGGAATTCCTTTCTCATGCCCATGTCATATTATTATCTCCTGCCCAGTCTGTAGAGGCAAGTATAGGGGGAGATAACTTCGTATCACACCTGAAGATTAGCTCCCCTGAATCCGACCGTAGTGTCATAAAAGAATTACATAACACAGACTGAGGGGCTCCTTTTGAACAGGATAGATCAGGGGAATTAAGTGGTCGGGTAGACATTTCTAGACAGGCCGGCGTCCAGCGTCTGAAGTTTTCACACATGATAGTGAAATTCTCAAGAGAACAGATGTTTGGCAATTAGGAATGTTTAATCTTGGTCAAGGTCATACTGTAGGCCGTTCACTGTGAGTGACAGGCCCATTGATAGCTAGGTTGATCTAATAGGTACCTCAGAGGCGGGGCTTAAGTCATCTCCTTGAGGGTTGGGTAGAACCTAGTAGAGGGTGGAGTTTACCCTTGCAGACAGATAGGGGTATTAAATAGACAAGCCCTGGAATTTCTGTCATAATTACTGCCAGAGGCAACAAACAGGTCGACCTTAGAGGTAATTCTAATGGTTTGATTCTAGTTTGGCGATTGCTGGAAGTTTCCAGGTAAGCATGTACAATTATTTTCAATCTTGTATACATAGGTTAGGGAGTTAGCTAAAATCTTTTCTACCTTTTCCTAATTTGTCTACACATTCTGCTTGAAATAGTTCTTTGTGAGTATTCAGTATCTCAGTTAGGGAACTGCTAAACTATTTCTATTTCTTGTATGTTTGTGGCACATGTTTTTCAGTGTATGTTTTCATGTTTATAAAATAAGACTTGTATAATGAAATGTAATGAAATTATAATGTTTCAACCATCAACCAAAACATGAGTTTGGACTGTGGGAAATGATGCCCACACATGCAGCCTTGTTGTTACATTTTGTGTGCCCACCATGTGCTCACCTAATGTGTTCACCTAAACAGGGGATTTATAACCCCAGGGGAAGAATCATGAGTGTGTATTATTCACTGCCACTGAAAGATAATATTCAGGACAGCATGCGCGTATAAAATGTTTGGCGTGTTCAGCACATAACCTGCGCCACATGTTTATGTCAAATCAATGTCAGCAAGTTGGAAGTCTGAGTGATGACGGACAACAGAAAGTCAACTATCATGACAGAACCTTAGAGGGAAGGCAGGATATGCGAGACGTCGATTGTGAGACACAAAGACCTTCAGATTAGACTGGAGAGAATGTGGAATATGAGGAGTGATGAGATATAATGTTTTATTATATATTGTATTAATTGACACATGTATTCTTAGTGTAAGTCAAGATACTACACGTATGTGTGTGTTTCCATTATTACAGCTCCCATGTGGGTGAGGATCAGTCGTTTCTAAGAACAGAAATAGAGGGTCATCACGGTCACGAGACTACATTGTGCTAGAACTCAGCCAGCTGGGAAACAGGTGGGAACCAGGGAACCAGGTGGAAGGACCAGGAGAACTGGGCGGAAAGATTGGACCAGCCAAGAAGGGACTCGACACGAGGACTCTCAGAGGTTCCACTTTCTAAAAAGTTATGTAACATGTATTTATGTAACTAAACACCACCATTATCATTTATTCTTATCTTAGGGGCTCAGTTATCAAGCTGAAGTATCCCATTACCACCATACCATCACTATTGACTAAAAATATAAATAATCAAAATTATTGCTAGGTTAATAAATCAGTTTTTATAATTCCAAGTGTGTCTGTTCTTACATGTTTAATTAAACTGTTAAGATAGAATAGCATTTGGTGGGGGCTCATTAAATAATAATACAATTTCTTTACCAAGAGAAGGTCGACGGATTGGGTCAACTGCCCTGTCTAGTGAATCATTCAAGATAAAAATATATAGACATCTAAAACCCATTTCCTTCTCTTGTGGGTACCAAGTTCAGCTAAAGTTAATATAAATAACGAGCCAATATGGCTGTTTTCTTGGATATCCAGGACTTTGTCTGAGAGCAACATAGCCCGGATATTAGTTCAGTTAATCTGGTAGAGGGGATGTGTGGAGAGGAAATTCCCTACTCAACATATAAATCATTTAAACCCAAATCCAGAGAACCCACGACCCGGGACGTCACACTAAAAGTGTTGTAATCTCAAAGGGAGTGGGCCGTAACGTCACAATGTGTCTAACATCCTTGAATGTTGTGTGATTTTAATAATATTTTGTAGTAATACTGACACTTGAACAGTTTAAATTTATTCTGCTATCATTTCTATTCAATTTGTTATATTATACATCTTTATACAGCCAATATTTTTTCTTTAGGAAGGTTTTAGCTTTGTTGTGTTTCAGTTAAAAAAAATTCTGCTCAAAATTAATGCTGTCCAAACCCTAGAAAATAATGTAGTCCTGAGAGAGTTTACCATATCACCATGCAGATCCCTCAAAACCAAACTACAACAAGAATCTTATAACTGTAAATAAAGTTCTGGTCCCACGCAAGCAAGGTCAAATGATTAGGCAATGTACCATTGAATTATGTGTGAAGGTTGCCTTTACTTACTTGCAGAAATGGTCACATAATGACATTTGTCTTCCCTTTCAGAATCAATTAAAGAGTCGTCATCACTTGATTCCACAAGACATAACGGACTCTGAGTGAAACTTCCAAGACAAAGTGCTGAATGCTCTGGTCTCAGAAAAAAAGATTCACAATTTTTATGAGGATACATTTATTTATAAAAAATGGTAAATACGATAATGGCTTTAAAGTAATAATGATAATTAACTAACAGTTTCTTAATACATTTGGTTGTCTGCTTCTTTGCTCATCTGACATTTGTTGGTATAGATTTAACTGCGGTGTATCCATTTACAGCAGAGATATGATATTTGTGCCATTCTGCCAAAACATCAAATTTTTTTTAAAGGCACATGTCCAAATATGGTTCCTTGCCCAGGTCACTGACAGGCTGAATAATGCAAAAATATCAGGTCAGCCTAGGTACAGCCTGCCATTTATGGAAAAATCTGCAACATGTGAAAAATGTATAATCGGTGCAGCCCCACATATCTGATGCTCCACAAAATCAACATATTTAAGCATGACCAAGATTAAGAAATTATATAGTGTATGTAAAACTATGCACACACAAAATAAGCGACAAAAGCCATAACCCGACAAATCAAATAACCTAGGGAGAAAACCATACAGACAAACACATTGTTGTGTAATTTTTTTCCCTCCAAGATTACAGACTGTATGATTAACATCTTAAGGGTGAGAATCAAATCGGTACTAATTCTGGAAACCCTGTTCAACTGTATAGCCATACAGCAGAGTTATACGAAGTAACCTTCAGTTCAGTATGGGATGGGTCTGATGATACACAATATGTCATGCACTGATTCATAACAACTTTTAATTTAAGAATAATAGTTGATTTAAAAGAAAATAATCAAACATGAACTTACGTATGGCATCCCGAGGGATCTCAATACTGGGTATATCGGTGCTATGTTGGCCAGAATGCACATCATCTACCAAATCTACATTCTTGCTTCCTGCACTCCGATAGTCAGTAGAGGGGTTATCCAGCTCCGATTGATCAGAACCCTCATGAAGGTGCAGCATCTCTCTTGAAAAAATCTGCCCACTAGCATCTTCAATTATGAAATCTGTGTTCTCTTGGCTTTCTGAAACAATGCTAGTGTCACTCATATGTTGGGCTTGTGTTTCTGGTAGCTCTGTATTAACTTTTTGATTTTGCTTCTGTTGAATCTTCACTGACTTATGTTCCTTTGTATTTTTTCTCTGAAGATGAATGAACAACATTCAACAAACCTATCATTCAACAAACCTATTATTCAACAAACCTTTCATTTAACAAACCAATCATTTACACTGCTTGTTGCATTGATTCAGAATCCTTACAATATGTTTCTCAGCATAATTTTAAATTAATAACCAGTACCAGATAATGGCATTAACCCTTTCGCAGCATAAGAATCCTTTTTAGAAAAATGGCCTTTTCAAAATGTTGTTAAAAAGAAACGCTGAATTAGAATTCTCTGAGATTCTACCCTAAGAAACTTGAGGAAGAGAAGAAATCTGGAGTCTTGGTCAGTTTTTATAAAAGTTCAGGAGGTTGAAACCCACGACCACTAAACTAACAGGCAAGACTGCTAGTTACTGCCCAAGTGACAAAAAAATTTATTTTTTAAATTACAATTTTTCTACCCAAAAAACTCTGCTTTCTAGTAAGGGATGCAATCACTATGCACAAATGAAGCAAATGATTTAACTCTCTAACTCTATTTGACCATGAGAACAAGGGTTTTGTCGATACAGCCATGGTAAGCAAAGTGGCCACATCAATTTATTATGATGTAACAATAAGGAAAATTGATTTGTTTTCACCACAAATGATACCTCTAAAAATGTTTTTGTAAAGATAATCATACACATCATGTCTACATACTATACAGTTGCAACCAGTACCAAAGATGTTGTACAGATGTAGTGGCTACTGCCTAAAGACTGCATGTCATCAAGAACCAGTAAAAGCAGGGGAACCAGCTTTCCCGGGTCAAAAGGTTTAAGAGCCTACCAAGACTGCATCAGTCACACATTTGCATTCTGTTTTGTTTCAATTGTGAATTCTTTAATACTATAAGAACAGCAGCTAGGAAATGTCACCCAAACAAAGAGTTTTACAAAACTATTTTGTAATAAATGTTTTTTTTGTGTACATATTTCCCTTTCTTGTTTTCTTGTCCTTTCCAGTGTCCATATAAGGGCTTGATCCATTTTGACTGCATGGCCAGTGTAGTTCCAGCAGTGCTTTCTGATAAAATTGAATACATTATCTTGCTTGGTCTCTTGTCTTATTTGCATATTGTGGGTGAAATCTGTCAAGTGGGGATTTAGTATTCTTCTAAGACATTTTTTTCTCAAAATCAACTGCAAATAGCAAAACAATATGGTTTTTGAGCCAGCAAAGATGAGGATCTGGCTTAAAAAGCGAGTACACAGATTTATTTCTGGGAAAGCAAAAGTGGCTAAAGAAATTACATCGGTACTAAACTTAAGATTCAAGACTATTTAAACATGCAGAAGACACAGTATGAAAGTAAATATGAATAAAACTGAAGTAATGTAATGTACGTCAGCAGAATTCCTAGTTCACTATATAAATAGGGTTGAATGGTATTCGTCCGAAGCAAGTTGAAGAATTTAAATATCTAGGAATTATATTTTTAGAAGATGAAAGAATATATTAGGGAAATAGAAACAAGATGCCATCAAGCCAGTGCACTGATGTACCAAGTGACACTGATATTAAGACATCCAAACATAAACTGTGCTAAACAAAACATAAAATGCTACTAGAAAGCTCAACAGAAGGAATGCAAAAGACAAGCACAAACACAAGAGAACGTTTCAACCAATGTTTTTATCAACAGAGGACTTTATTATCAGATGTGGACGAACAACCAGAACTTTTCACCAGAGTTTACAGCTGGTGAACGCAAAGAAGAAGGAGAATAAAGGACTAAATACAACACATACCGTGACTGGAAACTCAGGAGGGGGGGGGGGGGACTGCAGTCACCCCTATTTACATTGCACAATTAATTGCCTGGCATATTTCACTGTATCTCGTCAGGTGCATTACTACAGAGTTTAATCAAGTACGTATAAACCATTCCCATTCAATATCAACGTGGCCTAGTGAGAAGATTGTTTAAACATGCCAGACAGATCTGTACCGAAGATATCCTGGCAGCAGAAACTGAAACAAACATGCTAGACAGATCTGTACCGAAGATACCCTGGCAGCAGAAACTGAAACCATCAAAGCAACTTTACATCTAAATGTATACCCCACAGGATTCATCTAATGCCACAGCATCTCATCTAATTCAACCCCCCAGTGAAGTGACTGCTCCAAAACTACAAGCATTCATCCAACTCACATTCTGAGGAGACGATGTCATGCAAAGTCTGCAGGACCAATTAAAAACAGTCATCAGTCAAATGTTTTTTGCTGCTGTCCCAGTGGTTAGATACAAGACCACTCCCATTCCTACCCCATCTGTTAAAGAACCAGTAGCTCCGTACACCAAATCCAATTGCATTTATCAACTTACATGTAAGTGTCAGTTTATTTACATTCGACAGGACGTCATTTGCTTGACTCTGGACATGTGGTTGATAAAGCTTGCGCTTTACCACACACTCAACAAACGTTTGCTAAAAGTGGCAGAGGCTGTATCAATAAAACTCTACTCTCCTATGATCAATTTGAAGTTTCTATGTTAATTACGTGACTGATTTTGATTTTGAATTTCCGGAGGACAGACGTACACAACTCGACAATATGGTTTATGCATTTCAGCAAGAAAAGGGTTCATTTTGTGCTTCATTATACGTTGATTCAACTCTGTAGTAATGCACTTGACGAGATACAGCCAAAAATGCCAGGCAATAAATTGTGCAATGCATTGTTTGTGTTTGCATTATTTAAATTAACAACCGAAAAACATTGTTGTGAAAAAGTATAACTGCTAAGAAACCGACTGTAAACAGCATATTCATACCAATACTTTGCTACAAGTGCCAGACGGACATTATCAAAGGCTAACCTATGTGAAATTATCATTTGTGAAATGAGATGCATGAGGAAAGGTACCAACCTTATCATCCGAGATAAAGTGAGTATAAAATACTATCAGACAAAGACTGTGGGAACAACACCATAGATCAAATTCATTGAGATAACAGAAAATCAAATGGTTTGATCATCTCATTAGAACAGAGCCACAACTACCAATACAAACACTACACATGAAAAGATCTGATGTGAAAGCAAGAGGTCCTTGAGTATGGACTGATGACATTAAAGACCTTCTACACTGACAGGAAATGACAAGAGCCATTGCTACCAATCAAATCAATGGATTACAAACTGTTCCTCCTCATGCCGTTTAACACCTAAAGTGGAAATTGATGACGACGATTAAACTTAGAAAAGAGCTGTGGTAGCAAAGCAGCCTGAATAGGCCTGCTGACCCAAAGGTCGAGGATTCAAATCTGCATTAAGACAGATTTTTTTCTTTTCAAAACTGACCGAGGCTCCCAGGTAATCATCATCATCATCATGTAGCAGGTCCTTTGCAAAACGTCACTCTTATCACAGTCTGCCTGAAAGAAAATCAGTCTCTCGCCTCATGTACTTTCATACTCAAGGAGTCATTTGTATCCTATGTCCACCTTCGTGTTAGTCGGCCTCTGCCCCTCCTTCCTGGTACCATGCCTTCTGCTATTATTTTTCTCCAATCCGTTGTGGCGCTTGATATGACCAAAATATTTCAGCTTCCGAGACAGGATGCGGTTTATTAGCCAATCTTCCTTGTTGTTCAGATCTTTCAAGATGTCAGTATTCCTGCTGTTCTTTGTCCAAGATATTCTGAGAATCTTTCTATAGTATTTCAGCTCAAAAGCCCCTATTCTCTTTCTCAAGGACTGGGAGATAGTCCACGACTCACATCCGTATGTTGCTACAGGGAATTTGCATGTTCTCAAAATTCTAATTTGGATCGCTTTGCTGGTGCTTAACCATACTTTAAATGCTGTTTAATCTTTGCTATGGCCATCCTCTTTTTAATATCTGTCAAACAGTGCCAGGTCAACCCAACCTTTAATGGGTACCAGGAAAATTAAAGCTGGTCAGTGTGATGCTGACCATATCACTCGCCCAGGGCTATTCGTCTAAAAAAACATGAGTCTAGTGCCAAATGCCTGATGCACCACTGATGTAAAAAGAGGTGTTTACTTTACTAAGAATACTGAACTCTAGCAAGTAATCATTACTGCTACTGGAGCAGACAGGGAGAGTGACTTAAACCATTACTAATAAATTACAAACATTCATTAACAGGAGCTTTAGCTTGTGGCTTGTTTGTTCACCAGCTGTAAGCTCCGGCAGAAAGTCCTGATTGTTCGTCCATTTGGACTTTGGCTTTGTGCTACGGCTTGTGATTTGTGTGTACATCCATTTTACTGGCTTATTAGTGCAAAGGAAGTCCCCAATTAGTTGACGCCAACGACATGTTTGTTGGGGAGGCAGTGGGCCCCTAAACCCACATGGGAAGGAGCTTTAACATAATAAACAGAGTTTATTAAACCTACACACACTAATGAACTAAAAAAAGATCAAGTGTCTTCACCAAGGCAGGATAAAAGACAGCAATTCCCAGCAACAAGCAGAAAACAGTATACGGCTCACAAGTCACTCTATGTTTCAGTGGTTTAATACAGAAAGACAACAGTCAAATAGCTGTTGATTCTGCAAAAGTGAGATGAGGCCTGATCATGTACTTAACATATAAACATCCAAGCCCATCTTCAAGACATATAGCCAACAATGTGTTTGAGAATATGACAATGGCTCATTTAAACCCAAGCATTCATAAACAGGCTCTGGCCATCCTTACTGTCAGTGCTTAATATTTTGGGATGTACATCCAATGAGTATCGGTACTTGAACGACTTGATCTGGATCTAAAGGTGCATACCTTAAAAAATGAAGCCAAGCTCAATATTTTGGGATGTACAAGAGGCACATCTTGTGGAGCAATGAGGTATCTACTTGACTTTCCAACTATGAACCAAAGGATCAGGCAATGGAGAGAAGAGATTCCTGTTGCTGTTAATGCAGAGGTCAACGCTCTCATCAGTGAAAATTCAGACGAAGCAGATGCACTAATCTACACAGACAGATGGATCCGTTATACGCCAAAAAAAAGAAGCGCATGAGCATTCACAGCATGCTCAGCGGGCAGAACAGTCAAAGAAGCCAACGGCGCCTTCTCCATGACTATCAGCAGCATGACAATGGAGGTGATGGCAGTGACGCAAGCGCTCGCCTGGTTCAAAATACAAAACTACATCCGCGTATGTATCAATTTCACGGTAGCGCCAGTTGGTCCACAAGTGCAATTTTTACAGTGATCCCTGTGATAATCGTCAGAGCTACAGAGGTCCTGCTATGTGTGTTGCTCTTGGCAGACATTTAGCTGTTCTATGGAAAGAGACTGAGCCATATGGGACAAAATCTGGTGCAATGAAGTCAATCCTCTTACCTTTTACCTTTATCTAGAAAAAATATTCAGACAAATGAGAAACAGGTGCTGATCATAAGTATTCACATCTGAATTCATAACATTTCCCTGTCATGTTTGTGGAGCACAAAATACAAGCTAAAATGTCAAAGAAGACTCAACTATTGTTATAAATATAAACACAGTAACATACCTACCTTTTTCTTTACGTGATTGCGATCATAACATCTAATGTTAATGGAGCTAAAATGTCAAAGAAGACTTAACTATTGTTATAAACATAAGCACAGTAACATTCTACCTTTTTCTTTACGATGCTGACATCACAAAATAATACAGGTGATCTATAATCATCATGATTATTCTCAACTGCTTCAGAAGTATCATCATTCACTGTGTTGACATCTTTTTTCCTTGTTCTTTTTCTCCTGTTCATAAAGTATGTTAATTTAAAAGACAATATGCAAATTTAATTGAAAATGCAATGGGGGTTTATTTGTAAACAATTCTACAAAATCTGTGATATATGCTGCATTATGTCATAAAAGAATAACAGTCAACACACAGACAAAGATTACTAGTTCTTGTTCTTCTTGTTCACTGGCTGTGAATTCTGGTGGAAAGTCCTGGTTGCTCATTCAATTGGACTTTTGGCTTTGTACTAGAACCTGAGTTTTGCGTGTACATCCATTTTATTGGCTTATTTGTGTGCAGTTCTTGTTCCTGGCCTCTTAGGAAGATGTACTCCGACTTCTAAGGAAGACATTGATCCCATCTCTAGGACGACTGTGGCCATTGTTTCCTCATTTGTGTGGTATCCTCGTTGTATCTTTATCTACAGATGTTGCCCCTGGTGAACCCCATTAGGACAACCGCGTGTAGACCGGACAGACCTCAAGGGAAGGCAGGGGTAGATCATAGGAATTCCTCACCATCCAAGGAAACTTCCATAAATGCAGAGCCGACACATGATGCTCTGGTTCTGGGCTTACCCAAGGAATCGTCATGTCCTGCACATGACTGCTTAACCTCACAACCGTATATTGAGCTACTCGTTCGACACGGGCTGCGCCCTCCGGAAATCAGCAGAGAGCAGCCCGCAGGTCCAGGACTCCCATGACCACACAGATAGGTACATTCTTCTTCATCACATTAGACATCTTTAAAGTTGGTTCAATTGTGCACTTAGCACTGCAGTATGGATGGGCATGCATCAGGAATGGCTTCACCTGTTTGGTCCCACCACTCGGGCAAGTGGGCCGATGGATACAGACATATGAACTTTTTTGCCAATCAGTAGGATTTACATAATTTTTTGTTTTTTTTTCTTACAAAATTTAAGGGCGGGTGAGGGGTAGGGCAGGGGGAGGGGAGGGGACTGTTAGAATCAAATCAAAAGGCATGACACTTTTTTAAAAAACTGTACTATTGAACACATTCAACAGCAGCGAGCAAGAGGCGACCAGTGCTACAAGTGTGAAAATAAAATCATGAAACAGGTAAATTGCAGTAAATTCAGGCATACTACTAGAATGAAAGACAATGGTAATGATCAACTGCAGAAAACCCTCACTGTGGAGCAGCCCATGCCTGACTCACTGAATTAATAAATTAACTCACTAAGAGAAGCAATTATCAGTTAAACACAATCCGGTTTTAGAAAAGAAGAACGCGCACAACAACAGTAAATACAACAATAAACATGCTATGGAAAAGATGATGGATACAATGGAGGGTTAGTTTCCATTCAGTATATATCTGTGGTCGACCATACTGCCTTTTGTTTGCTGCCTGGTGAAGGAAAATTTGCACTTAACACCATATCATAAACATGTAAATTTAGAACAATGCAATGAATGGCAGAGAAGTATATATTTTAATTTTGTGGACTTTGAGAAAGCTTTTGACAGCGTCCATAGAGACGGTCTGTGGAAAATTTTACGACATTATGGAATTCCAGAAAAAAATAGTCAACATAATTGCTCTCTTCTATAAAGACTTTTCCTGCAGTATAAAAAATTACAATACATCTTTCCCAGTAAAGACGGGTGTAAGACAGGGATGTGTTATGTCATCTCTCCTCTTCAACCTTGTGATTGATTGGATACTAAAGAACACCGTAGACAGGACATTGAGAGGCATACGATGGACTCCATTCACCATGCTTAAGGACCTTGATTTTGCAGATGATATAGCACTCCTGTCACATAAACATGAACATATACAAGAGAAAAGTAACAGACAAAACTGCACAGCTGAAATGGTGGGACTGAGATTAAATACAAAGAAAACTAAGATCATGACAAACAGTCCAAACCAACAACCAGTGACCATAAATAACCAATCACTTGAAAATGTAGAACATTTCACATATCTTGGCAGTGTGGTGTCCCTACTGGGAGGGACAGAGGAAGACATATAGTCACGTCTGAACAAAGCTAGAGCTGCTTTTGGAAGGATGAGGCAAATCTGGAAATCCAACAATTACTGCAGAGGAACGAAACTCCGACTCTACAAGAGCATCATTTTGCCAGTTCTTCTTTATGGAGCCGAATGCTGGAGAATGACCAAAAAGGATGCACACAAGCTGTCCACCTTCCACCACACGTCTACATAGAATTATCAAAATTTTCTGGCCAGATACAATCTCAAACACTAAACTACTTCAAGCCACAAACCAAGAAACTTTAGACAGTATGATTACCAAGAGAAGATGGAAATGGCTTGGCCACATTATGAGAATGACTTCTGATATACCTGCCAAAACAGCTCTCACATGGACACCAGAGGGAAAGAGAAAACAGGGGCGCCCAAAAACAACATGGAGACGAACGATGGAAAGTGACCTGAGTGTGTGTGGCATCTTTGACATGGAAAACTGCACTGAAGATTGCACAGGACAGGAAAGCATGGAAAGTCCTCTCTGAAGCCTCATGTGCCACAAGGCATAACGAGAACTGATGACGATAAACATGTAAAGTAGGAACTTTCTTCATCTGTCCTTTCTATCCTCTATTGCAGTGGTTCTCAAAATTCTTAATTCAGCTATCCTTTAATACAGTTCCTCATGTTGTAGTGACCCCTAACGATACAATTATTGTCATTGTTATTTCATAACTTCAACGAATATGTGTTTTTCAATGGTCTTAGGCGACCCCTGTGAAAGGGTCACGACCCACAGGTTGAGAACGGCTGCTCTATTGCCTATTGCCCTAACCTCTGTCCTCCCCTGCAGTTCAACCTACATCTTCCCTGCTTATTCATCTTAATTTCTAATTTTCTTCTTCATATTTTGTTTCTCCCTTTATTTCTTTGGCTCTGGGGGTTCTATTGCAAAGATATTCTAGTTATATTATTACAATTTTTTATTTCCTTGCCAGTGCCTTTTCCTCAGCTTTTGTTTCAATAGAAAAGGAACAAGTGACTATACAAAAAGTCCGGCATCTTCAGAACGCGAACTCACTACCTTCCGATCCACAGCCGCCAACGCCACAGCGACTTCCATGTACTGACAACTAGAATTGTGAACAAATCTTTTTTACAACTATTATTTGATTAGATCAAGAAGTTAAAAAAATCCAGAAAGACAGTTAGATAGGGAGAAAAAAACAAGTGTAAGGGCAAAGAATGAACAACCAGACCAAGACATACCGTTTGGAATTTGCCACTTTGTCCTGATCCTTCTGCCCATAAGAATCACAATTACCGTCATGGGGCTCTACAAACACAAATTAAAATGTAAGAAAGGCATATAATCTCTATGTATGGAATTCCAAAACTATGACTTACACAAAGTTATACACACAACTGTTATCCATTAAATAAAGCTATCTTGATGGCACTTACTACCACTGTCGATGTATGCCATGCAGGTTCTGACTAACTGGGTAGTCATAATGCAGAGTTCAGGCCTAATATTTTCTTTCTTATTGACTAGAGATAAATATACTTTGCCTCTCTGTGATGAGGTTCCACATTTTCTGCTATATGGTCATCATCTTCAGATCTTACGATTTATAACACTATGCAGCAATTTTGGGGTTGACCCCTTTCTATGTTATAATAGGCTGTCACAGCCTTCTCTCTCTCTCTCTCTCTCTCTCTCTCTCTCTCTCTCTCTGTCTCTCTCTTTTTTCTAACTTTTTTCAAGTTCTAGTTTAGGTTTTTCTTCTCATAATTTGGTTTTAAAAAATATGACTATCTTTTTTATGAAAATGTTTTGGACAAACTGTAAATGTGTCTTAGCTCCTTTGAAAATATTTGCATAACTGATATTGACTTTTTTAATCTGCTGTAAACCCACACCTTTCCAAGAAAAATGGAATTTCTGCTTTTTTTACCATTGATGAGAATTTACAGACATCTGTTAAAACTGCTCTAATGTACATGCAGTAATTTTTTTTAACCTCCAATGATAACTGTAATCTTGATGTTTGATAACTGTGTAATCTTGGTGTGTGTTAACAGTTATTCTGATGTGTGATAAATGTCTTATCTTGACGTGTGAATTGCATTAATTAGTGTCTAACACCCACTGTCCTCTATTTGCAACATTCACCTCTCCTATGTACTCAACCTTTATGCAAATTGTTTGTTCATGTTCTAATTTCACAGTGATAAATATATATTTTGAAAAAAAATATTCATATTTATTTATTTCTTCTTCTTCTTCGCTTTCAGCAGCTGTAAAGGCCTGTTAAAATTCCTGGTTGTCTGCCCACTTCTCGACTTTAAGCTTGTTCCATGTTCCAGAACTTGAGTTTTGCGAGCACATCTATTTTACACATCTGGCTTACTTGCATGCAGACTGTTGGTTCCTTGACCTTTAGGCAGATGCACTCCGATTTAAAGGACACACATAAATACACAAAATTAGCCTACTTTTATGACATGTTTGTTAGGGCAGCAGTGACCCAGACAACCCTCCCCCACCCCTTTCCACTACAGGGTCTTGGAACCCACATGGAGAATATTTATTACAGCTTTCAAACATGTTAATCTTGGCAGCTTTGGATTCCTCTAAATATAACTTTCTCTCTAAGTTAAACTTCAGGATTCCCTGGCTTACAACATGATAGCCATTTATCCACATTACTAGTTAATAACATGTACACAGTTTACCTTGAGAAGGAATTTCTTCAGGCAAATCTTTTTCAATGACATGTGCTGCTTTCTTTGTCATCCTCACCAAATGTTGTTTCATTCAGCATGAAGAAGGCAATGTTCTATTTTTTTTTCTAACGATTAAATACCCTTTGAAATATAAGCACGAGTTTCATGTTTCATGACAAGGTTTCACTGTGATATAGTGTATTTTAAAATGAATGATAAATAGTCTAATATATGTTTTAAATTTCTAATAATGATTAAAGGACAGCTGAAAGAGCGTAAGAAAGGGTAGACATATATACAAGTGAAAGGAAATCAAGAAATGGTTGAACAGCGGTCTGATAGAGTAAATAATATGAAAGAGGCAGAATGACGGAGATCCACTGCAGCCAGTCTTCACTGTGGAGAAAGCACCTGTTTTCATTAATAATAGATACAAGAAATTGCAAAAACTAAAAATTAACCATCTGTCATTATTGCTGATGTCATATTTGTTTCCATCTTCGTCAATCCTTCTGTTAAAATACTTTAATCAGACAAGTAGCATTGATCTAAGTTATCAGGCAGTGTAAATCTCTCTGTGTACCATGTAGCTTTGTCTTGATTGAGGTGGAAAAATGTCAGATGACCTTTCTTTTAGCAGCATAGTTTTTAGTACTGGAACCTATGCTCAACATTTTCATGTGTCAAGTTGAAAGGACAAAACTCTAAGTTTGCTACATCCAATACGCTAACATATGTTGGTGAAGTTAGTTAGATGTGACTTTATTCTCAAGTTAATTCATCCTCCACTCTAAAGAGAGATGAAGTAAGTCTTGGGAAGAACAACTGGTGTGGCTATCCAGCCACCTTTCTTGAATATAATTTTTAATCAGTTTGTAAGCATCCTGATAAGTTCAGTCACAATTTAACTACACTGTCTAACTGGCACTTCATTGCATTCCAAGCCAAAGAAAGATTTTCCTGCTAAAAAGCCCATGTGAATCAGTTGTTGCATTAAGTCTTCAAAGATGCTTTTTCTGTCAAATACTTGTAGCCTTGGCATCAGTTAGAAAGATCCCCTCGTGGCACACATTGAGCTAGGGTAAACTAGATGCCCGGGACTCACGAGCAAATAAATTGAAGGAAGTCGCAGGAGATGCGGTAGCTGCTGCTCGTGAGTCCCAGCTATCTAGTTTAGATCGCCATCGGCACCGCACATAGCAGTGCGGGGGATACTGTCAGCGATGAGGCATAGTCACAGAAACAGGTCCGCAATTAACATATCGCTGAGACCCTGTTAGAGAATTTGTTTCGTTATTCAGCGGATCCTAGTTTTGCTGCGATTTGTTCCTCGGCAGGAAGTCAGACATCCTCATTTTTCAGGACTAAGGCCCTTTTAGGGTATTTGTTTGGCCGCCATATTGCCAGGGTAGAAATTCAGACGAGAGCCCAAAGATTTCCTTCAAGGGTAGGATTTTGTTCATTTCCAGGAAGTAAAGGTGGTTGGCAAGATACTGACCACATAACTTACTGAATGGCCATTAGTCTTAAAATATGGGGTTAGCACCATATACCTAATAACATTTAATGGCATGAAAAGAGACCATATAACGTTTCCTTTAGTGATTTTAAAACAAGTCAAGGTGTCTTTGTTATCATTACCATGATAATCTTCACTTTATTCTCTACCACCCATATCGCTAACATTCTGGTATCCACTTTGTTTTAGCAACTAGCGAATTCCTCGAGAAAATCACTCAACAACAACATCATCATAAAAATAACAGCTGGTTAATTTATATATTAAAAACTAATACTAGAAAGACACTGTTAACATATATGTACTATTCAGTCACTTCCTTACTTACCTATCTAAATTTATCAACCGAATTATATTAAATGCTCAATTTTTATCTATGATAACGATACGCCAGACGCTCGGCTGCGGATAGGAAGGTCGTGAGTTCAGTTCCTGACTAGCAGTGTTGCCACTTTGGATGTTTTACATCCAGATTAAAAAGTTTTCCCTTGCATTCAGATGGTGTTTTTTACATTTAAATAGTAGATGATTTTTCTAGATGTTTTTCATTTGGATTTAGAAAAAGATTTTTTTTTCTGTCAGTATTAGTTTAATATTTTTTTTGTGTGTAAAATATAATTGCTACAATATTTTTGCATGTACATTGTGACAATTGCGATTACTTAAACTCTGAACTCTCGCTGGGGTCAACGCTCAAATATCTGGCAGCCCCGGTACTGATTAATTAAAAGCGTGCGTAAATCATTCTAACTTTGTTTCAACCGTATCCTCACTATGCTGACTTTTAGTTTCTTTTTCGTGTGATTTTAAAAAAAATGATTGCTCACCTTCATATGTGGCTTTCACTTTGAAAAAACTGTTTAACATGCCAAAAGTAAAGTATGAGCAAAAATTTCTGAAAGAGTGGTTGCATGATAACAAAATTAAAGACTGAGTGATGGCAGTTCCTGGGGATATGACCAAGGCTCGTTGTAAGTACTGCAAGTGTGAAATTATTGCAAAAATACAAGACTAAAAGAGTCATGCAGAAACTAAAAAGCATAAAACTGCAGTTCCATTCAAAGATATTACACCGCTGACATCTGTTTTCATTACTACACTGATAAATGAATCATCAAAAGTTGAAGGATCGGTCGCAATGTTTTAAAGTTGTCATTGTGCAATTTCAAACTGTGACCATTTAATTGATTTGTTTAAAAATACTATTTCTGACAGTAAAGTTATGGATGATGTGAAAATGCATCGCAGCAAGTGTACACATATTATAAGAAATACTTTATTTTCTCACTTCCAAAAAGATTTGGTCAGTGATATTTCTAAAAATAATTATTTAGTTTATTATTAGACGAATCAATTGATATTTCTGTACTGAAAGTGCTTGTGTGTGTGTAAAAGGTAAAGGTAAATTTGGTAGATGTGAACCAGTGTCATTGCACACGGTTATAAACCATAAGTGCTCTGCCACCAGTACGGACAGCTGATAAGAATTGTCCGCCTGTGTCGCCGTTTGCACGTAACTCTGTAGCTACAGCGACGGTCCTCCATTTACCCCAGAGTATCACTCTGGTACCCATTTCCTAGAGGCTGGGTGAACCCCGGTAGCCGCCCAGTTTCGAACACCGACAGTGGCTGCAGCGAGTTACAGCTGGATTAGAAAGCGAGCTTCTTATCGACAGCGCTAACACGGCCCATTATGTATTACAGCAACAATACAGACAAAGTAGTTTCTACATATCTTGGACTAGTTTAAATTAAAATGTGTGATGCAGAAAGTATAGTTCAGGAACTGAAGAAACTTTTAAACAGCAAAGCTAGACTTGAAGAATTTGGCTGCAATTTGTACCGATAATGCCTCGATGATGGTTGGTATAAACAATGGCGTTTATGCCAAGTTGAAGGAAGCTATCCCATCATTAATACTTATAAAATGTATGTGTTATTAATTGCAGCTAGCATTATCACATGCTTCATTTGAATGTTTACCAAGGAATTTGGAATACCTTATTGCTGAAACATATAACTGGTTTTCCGAATCATTTGTCAGACAACAGCAATCATCATCATCATCATCAGGTGCCTTGCCAACTGGCGTGGGCGATCATGCCTCTCCACAATCTGCGATCTCTTGCAGCATGTATCAGTTCGTGTGCCGACACACCTCCATGCCATGCAACAAGACTGTCAAGCATCTTCTCTCGTTGTCTTCCTCTATCTCTCCTTCCACATATCTTTCCAGTGGTCACAACATGTTCTATTTTCCCTCTTCTCATAACATGGCTGAAAAATGATGACTGTCTCCTTCTGATGTCTGTGATAAGTTGTCTTCGGGCTCCCGCCTCTTTCAAAACCTCTTGGTTGCTCTTTTTGGCTGTCCAAGGTATTCTAAGCATTCTTCTGTAAAACCACATCTCCGAGGCCTCCAGAAATTGTTTGGCCTGCCTACCGATTGTCCAGGATTCACAGTCATATGTTAAAACTGGATGTATGTAGCAAGCAAAAATTCTTTTTCTAACTCTCAATGACAAGGATATGTTGCACAAGATGTTTTTTATTTTATAAAATGCAGTTTTTGCCTGTCCTATTCTATTTCTTATCTCAGTTATGCATCTTCCATCTGATGTTATCCATGTGCCTAGATACTTAAATTTCTGTACTTGTCCTAAAATAACACCATTAACTTTTATTACACACTTAGGAATAATTCGTTTCTTTGATACCACCATTACTTCTGTCTTCCCATTATTCAAACTGAGGCCCATTCTTCCACTTTCTAACACCACAATTTCTATCATTTCCTGCAGTTATTTCTGACTTGTTGCTATCAAGACTGTGTCATCAGCATAACGTAAATTGTTTATATTGTGCCAACCAACCACAATTCCGGGCATATCAATTAAAGCTCTCACTGTATATTCTCTGTATATTGAAAACAAATCCTTGTCGTACGCCCCTCTTTATGCTTTGAAATGTACCTAAACAGTTGTTAATTCTTATAGCTGCTGTTTGCTGCCAATACATATTCTTTATTATTCGTAGATCTTTCCCATCAATGTTTAATTTTTCTAACAGTTTGATTACTTCTTCATGCTTCATTCACAGTCAAATGCTTTTGTATAGTCTATGAAGCATATGTACAACAGCAATACAATACATTACATACAGCCTTAAATGATGGTTCCACACCACTGACAGTTCTGATACTACCCCACTCAAATGCCAACGTAGAAAGAGTTTTCAGTGCTATGAATTATATCAAATCTTGACAATAAAATTAGGCCTGATGAGAGTAGGAAAATGCTGTTCCACTTATCAGCTCCCTGATGGTGTATTAAAATAAATGGAACATCTAAAGCATACCAGTTATTTTGGATCTGAAGCTTCAACTTTATCATCCAAGCTAAGTTTATCTTGTGGATTGTGTGAGGCACACATAAGTGAAGATGAGGACATGATTTTATAGGATAAGTCATATCAATAGCTGTAATTTGTGACTCTTTTAATTTGGATGTTCTTCTAGATGTTTTCCACACACATTTAGATGTTTTTCGATATTTGTTTGACTCCGTTTTGGA